AAAAATTGCATACAAAATTCTCAAGCCTGAAAATGCTAAAAATGAGGTTCCTCTTATATTAATCATAGGACTGTAAATATTTCCATTTGATATTAATTTATATTTTGCATTTCTTTTATTCTGTAATAATTTAATAATAATCTGTAAAATTAAATTAAGTGGTAATACTAAAGAACATTTTTTCGGCTTTGAAGAAGGCTAGTTATTTATTGTCATTATTATTGCTATTTAAATGCTATCTATATTATATATATGATTAATTTGAATTAGGTTTAATCATTAGAATTAGCAAAAAACCAACAAGGTTCGTCAATATTGTCTGAATGTGCCAATTAGTTATACTCAACTTCCTTAATGACGCCCTTCACACTATTTGCTGAAATCGAAAATCGTAAAATCTTAAACATAAATACTGTACTGTATTATGGCTAAGATGTATTTACTATATTTGAATCAGGCTTGATTTACAATATATTGAATCAGACAAAAGTGACATTCTAAATTATTTTATATATTAAGTAGAGAAAATCGAACACTACTTTTGCAAATGATTGTGTATATCTATAATAGACATACGTTAATTAGCACATGTTATCTGGCTTTTGGTTGGAATCAACATAATTACAGAATATTATGCATGTTATAATTAGAAAATATTACTTCAGACCTATGTCTACATACCCGATAATATTATATTATACCAGGTTTACAGTTTAATGCTTTTACGATTTTATAGATTTTGCATGCTGCAGATAATTTATCACATTAAATTCATAACAATATAATGGTATTACCGTATTTTCACGTATTAACGTCCATGTACGTTATTTCGAAATCGAATCACCCGAAAATAGCGCGTCTAAAAATAACGAGCACGTTTGGATCAATGTAAATTAGCAAATATATTCTTAAAACATGTGAGCGTACTACGCGAAAATACGATAATTATAATAAGAAATATAAATATTCAAAATAAAACCATTTTATTAGTAATTGTATTTGATAATCGTGGAATTGGTGAATCAACTGTTGCTTCCGATGATCCTATCACGATCGAATTAATGGCTCAAGATACAATTAGATTGATTAAACATCTTGGAATTAACCGATTTAACTTGCTTGGAGAAGCTATGGGTGGTAAGATTCTAAATTTAAATATTCAATATTCTTACAATGATTTTTACTTTTTATATGTAAAATTTTATAGGTAGAGTTACTTTTTGTGTTGCCTTAAATCTTCCATCTGATTTGAAGCTAGAGAAATTAGTCGTTTGTTCTTGGTATATGCATTATTGATTAATTATAGTATAATCACTAGAATTACAGGTAAAACTAATCACCAATGGTGCACTGATTTTCATCAATCAATAACCATTTGTGATACTGGGATATTGTAGGTAGTGTTGAACTAGTGTGTTGGTGAAACTAGTGATATTGGTGAAACTGGGACATTGGTGAAACTGTGATATTGGTAAAAACTAGTAATATTGGTAATATTGCAAGTTTGCCAATACCACAGCTTCCAATATTACCAGTTTCACCAATACCACCAGTTTCACAATATTACCCTTATCACCATCTCACCAGGTGAAATTAACTAGTTTTGCCTGTAACACCAATTCATACTTAAATTAACTTTATCTTTTTTATTGAAGTGCATCTCGTATTGACACCAATACAAAAGTGTTTCAGGAAACTGAGAAAATTTATCAATTACCAGGCTTTAAACATCCTGTAACTCTTCAAGAACAAAAAGACATTCTTCTTAAGTCTAAGTCTAAAAATGATAAGAATTTGGCTAAATATCTACTTGAACATCCTGATAAACTTGATAAAAT